CCTCCACTGGGATTATTCGGGTGCCGCTTACGGCGCATAGCACTGCGTTACATCCCGCCTGTGTGCGGTCTGACTGCGCCATCGTCTTGGGATTAAATTCTTTCTGAGCACTAAGATGTCAAAGCATGGGCCGAATGCTTGGTGTGGCTCTAGGGGGGGAAAAAAAAAATCAGAGGGGTCATAAAATCATTCTTGCTCCTCTGGTGTGCTCTGAACAACGGGTTCTCTGTAGCATCAGTGTCCTGTTTGTGTGACAGAGGATGGAGAAATCAGGTCCTTTTCCAGCTGCCCCTCCCTCAGGGCACGCTGTGGCTGGGCTCTGCCCCAGCACCCTGTACCTGCAGCCTAGGAGGACTTCACCCTTGTGGGGGCCAGAAAGGGAACCCCGAGCGGATCAGCATTAAAACCTCCCTCCGAGGATTTTGAGGTTCTCTCTTGCTTTCTCTTTCTCCAGATGACACCTTTGCTTTCTGGCGAGGCCTGAAGGATACGGGTCTCCTGGAAGAAGTAATCCACGAGTTCCACCAGGAGCTAGTGGAGACCATGAAGGGCTTGCAGCAGCGAGCGCAGGATCCCCCGCTGCAGCTCGGTGGTAAGGACCTGGGCACGGGCACGCAGAGGCATCTCAGGAGAGAGGGGCTTGTGGGTTTTTCTTCTCCTTAGGGATATCTGGATGGCACTATAGGGACATAGTTCATCGTAAGTAAACCCCATTTCTGGCTGCTCCCTGAGCAGGCTCTTCGCTGCGCTCGGGGATGCTTCAGGTGGCCTCAGTTCTCCAATTTCCTTTGCCTGGGGCTTCCTATCTGCTGGCTCTGGGTCTGGACAAACACTTGGCTTGGGGACTGAGGTGGAATTTAGGCTGTCGGACTAAAGATGCAGCAACTAGCTACTGTGCCAGCAGATTTCTTATCACCCCTGCTAAGCAGGAGAGGACTGTTTATACGCTAGTGACCTCTTGCACTTTCTCGTGACTTCTCCTGTCTTCTCCTCTTCCCCATCCTCTTGCGTTACCCTCCCGCAGATTTTGACAGTCTCAGCTGAACATGTTTGCTGTCGTATGGCTTTTTACCAAGCCGTAAATAGTTTGCATGGGGAATTTTGCTTTCTTCAAAGATCTGTGTCTTGTTTTTAAGATGCTGTTTTACTCAACAACGTAGTCCAGAACTTCGGTATGCTGGATCTGGTCAAGAAGGTCCTGGCCAGCCACAAGTGTCAGATGGATCGCTCGAGGGAGCAGTACACGCGGGATTTGGCAGGTATGCCCCCGGGACACACTGGTGCTCCAGCACTTCTCACCACTGCCAGCTCGTTTTCTTTCTGCGTAAGAAAGTGGGGTTTGTGTTAAAGCTGGCGGATGCTAAACCAGCTCCAGGCGTTGCCGCGGTCCCTGGGAAGCTTGTCCCAGGTCCAAGCTGAGCCGACCCTGCTCTCTCTCCAGCTCTGGAGCAGCAGTGTGACGAGCACCGCAAGCGAGCAAAGGAGCTGAAGCACAAATCGCAGCATCTCAACAACGTCCTGATGACCCTCACGCCCGTCTCCGTCCCCACGCCTTTAAAACGTCCCAGGCTGACCAGGGCCACCTCCGGACCAGCTGCCATCACCTCCCAGGGCCTGTCCCAGACGGAGCAGCTCGACGTCACCCCCGCTGTGCTGGGGCTCCCGGGTGCC